GGAAAGAGAGAGGGAGAGCATCGAAATCGTAGGAGCGGCAGAGATCTCGGCGATTCTGCCGCGAGTAACAATGGCGACGCGCGCGCAGGAGAAACGACGGCGAGGGAAAGATGACAATATTAAGAAAGCTTACGAGAAACGTTCCGCCGTAAAGGTTTATTGGCGTGAAGGAGTTGTGAAGCGTGTCTACATCAAAGGCGACCGCTTCTGAAACTCTCTATTCCCTTTCTACTTGAACCCTCGCCGTCATCTCGTCACCACCTCCACTTCTATCAACTACCACTGACGTCCATTCGCTCTGCCAAGGTTGTGCACGCAACCAGACACTCCCCCCCTCCCCCTCCCCGCCCTCCCCAAATGTGTACCCTAAGCACATTCACCACGTGCGAGTTCCTGCACCGGTGGTTATTAACATCCATTACCATCTCAAACGAGACGCATTGCGACGCACGATCGAACCCCTCCGCATCGATTTCGGATATCGTATCTCTGAAGAAATGTACATGTTATTCTTCCATTTCAAGGTTTTACATTGTTCGGCTATTCGTTCGCGGACAGTATAGTTGAGAAGTCTCCTTTGAGGAGTTCTTTGGGAAAACTCGAGGTGTGTTTTGGAATGGCAATGGATGCTTGAAAGGTTGAACGGACGAAGATTAATCATCTCGGGGTGTTACACGCACAAGGGGATTAATTAAAATTCCACACATTTTACTAGGTGTTGCTATACATGATGTTGCAAATATAGACGTTTCGTTTCACTTCTTATAAACTGAAACGTGCGTGCTTTTCGTTTGATATCAGGCATATATAGGAAAAATAAGAAACAATTTATTTAATATTATAATATTTATATATATTTATAAATATATATATATATATATATATTTAATATATTATTTTAATAATATAATATTTTCTAAATTGTTTGTTCTGAAGCCTCTTTTACTTAAGGGCGGAAGAACAGCGAAGCAATAAAATATCGGGAGAGATGCTTTAGTTAATCGCTTTGGAGTGATTATATCACAAAAAGGAGATAACCAATTATCAACAAATTGATGATCGATAAGGCTTGCAAATTATTTCTATCATTGTCGGTATGAAGTATTACTCGTGATTGAACTTATTGGAGTACCATACGTTTCAATATATTATAATTCAATTATTCGCGTCTGTTTGCCAAGTCTAGCGGACAATCATCCGCAATCTGTGCAATTTGCCCGACTTACTCTCTTAATTATCGGTGTTGTACCTGACTTGTTTCACAAACTTATTAAATTCGTAGTAATTAATTAATCAGATGATCAACGGTTAAGCTCGATTGTTACCTGGCTATCAACCTCAAACGAAATTTTCTCTGAAATAACGTATCGCGTACAACAGGATATCGTGTAGTAGGCAAATGTGATTAAGGTAATTACCTCGCACTTTACCAAAAATATATAGATTCAAAAGGAAGTGCAATTTGTTCAACAGCATTAAACATCGCCGTTTAAGCCTTCATACAGTACGATACATTGATTCAAATGAGATAAATCAAGTGTTTCTCATCGAACGTTCACCAAATGTTCTTTCACATTCCCCGAAACATTAGTCAATGATATCCGACATTGTTTAAAGCAGCTAATTAAAAGTTAATCGTTTCGTAATCAAAAGAAATTGCCTGATAGATAGTGATAAACTGCTAGACACGGATCATATAAAATTGACGACCTGCTGCAATACTTTCGAAGCGTTATTGCAGCATTCTAATTCAACTGGCAAAACACCTAACTGGCAAACGACAGGACGAGCTAAATAAATAATTTCTTTTCACTCAATCGACAGCTGTCTAACGATTCACCTCGGAAAGAAGCGAAAGAAACGAAAATTAAAATCAACCGTCCCTCCTCCACGAGATCAAGTAGCTTTCCAAACAATTTGCCAACGATACTATAACGGAACCAGGAAGTAATCTTAATTATTCGTCGCATTTATTGTGAATTGTCGTCAATTACGGAAAGAAGACCCAGGATAATGGGCGGGGGGGGGTATCGAAGGAGATGGATGGTGGATCTTCCTCAGTCGAGAGAAGGGGGGAGAGGGGGGGGGGGCAAGGACTCACGTCGACTTCAGCGGGATTCTATCGGTTTTTACTGAATTATTTATAAAATCTCTGATTGATATTCACGATTATCAGGAGAGGCGGGCGCTCACACACCCGTAAGCATATGTATTGTTTTGATAAAGAGAGCAGAGATGGAACGAGTGGGGGGAGAGCGCGCGCGTGTAGCGGGAGATCGTGTACCGCGGGAGAGAGCCCGCGGAAGACGAGAGGACTCGCGCGCGGCGAGGTTTTACAGGATGAAAAAGGAGCAGAGTAAATGAGAGAAAGAGAAAGAGAAACATAGAGTAAAAGAGAGAAAGAGGGCGAGAAGAGAGAAACAGAGAGAGAGAGAGAGAGAGAAAGAGAGAACGAAACGGACGTGGAACCGGAACGATCGCAGAGGCTCGAGGGAAAAAAGGTAGGGCACGAAGCGAGGAACGAAACTGCGACTGGTAGAAAAGCTGGTGGAACGACTCTAGAAGAAAACGCACGGCTGCGTTCGGTGGTGGGTACGTCAAGAAAGAGAGCTCGATTCGTGAATACACGCGCCCCGAGACGCGCAAAGCTCTCGTGGCTAGAAGCAGAGTGAAAGAGAGCGACGAGAAAGGGAGGGAACAGGAAAGAGGAAAAAAGAGAGGCGTAGAACGAGAAAGAGAGATACACAGTTGATCCCTGTGAAAGAAAAAGGTGGAGAAGGGAAAAAGAGACAGAAACAAGGGGGCACAGCAGAGACGAGAGGACGAGAAGAAAAAGGTGAACGAAAAAAAAAGGAGGACAGGATGGAAATAAAAATCCAGAAGCGGAAAAGCGATCAAGAAAGCGATCGAGAGGGGGGGGGGGGGGGGGAAGATAGAAGCAAAGGACCCGCGGGACGTAAACACCGCGGTGTATTTTGGAGCGGGTGATTCCCGAAGTGTTACGCACGAAGAAATCTCCGTCCGTTTGTAATTCCTTACTCCGTTTGCTCTCTTCTTTCTTTTCTCTTCTCGCTGGTTTCATGACGTTCTCTGACTGTCGACGACAGTCAAACATCGCGAGTGTTGATCTTCATGTGCTTCATATATACAAAACACGGCCGCGAGCGCGGACACACGCGCGCCTATCGGTCCTGCTACAGGAACGAAACGATGATACACAAGAAAACGAAAAAAAGCAAAGAGCAATTTTAAAAGGGGCAGAGATTTAGCGGCGAAGATGAAGAGGAGGAGGAGGGGGGAGGAGGAGGAGGAGGAGGAAGAAGAAGAAAAAGACGGCGGGACAAGAGCGGAGAGGAGAAAGAAGCTGTAAAAAGAAGATGAGAGAGAAAGCGAGCGAAACAACAAGCGAGAGCGAGTGTGTAACGAACAAGAGAGACAAATATATAGAACCGGACGGGGGATTTTTAAGAAAGGAACCGCGGTGCTCTCGTAAAAGACTTACTCGGTATTATCCGACAGTGCTTATATTTGCTAATGCCGTGATGACGATGCGTCTCTCCGGCGAGACCGACGTTCCATCCTCGAAAATGTCAACTATCGACGAAAAAATGGTACGGACTGAAACGCAGACACATCGTGGCTCTCTTTCTTCGTCCTTACTTTCTCGCTCTCTCCCAGCGACGACGATGATTCGGCGTGAACTCTCGACACTTCGACACGACGCACACACGCACCACACTCACGACGGAATATATACACTGCTCCGATAACGGCCGTAGTAATAAAGGCGAGCTGACACGGCGAAGGCATGCAAAATGTTTCCCGATCGCATCGAGTAAACAGGGGCCACCGATGAATTCACGGACAGGTCGGACACTATAACGGCTAAGCTTTTCGCGGCTCGTCTCGCAGGCACATCTTGGTCGCCATCGAGATCTAACACGAGTGCGCGGGACGCGCGCTCTCGCGGCCCCTCACTAAACTTGCCTCTTCAAAGACCGGCCAATCAACGGGCCGCATGGCCTATGCCCTTGCCGCGAGCAGTCCTGTATCTAGCTGACGTGCCGTCATTCATTCATGCCAAGGAATTCTCTTTTCATCCAATTCGGCGAGAGCACGTTACGTTCGATGGTTTTCCATCGATGTAAATCATCTTTCTCGCTGTCGATTGTATTCGACGGTCGTCGAAAGAATCGATCGTCAATTTGTTTCACCGTTTCACGGCATTACTAATTAACGTTACTACCGAGAAACACGCACACAAATGCGCGACTGAACGCGTAGTCAATGTGCCATCGGCAGTCACGTATCTAATTGATTTAGCGCCTCCTTGCTCCGAAAATTTCGTAGCGCGTATTTCACGGATAAGAAATGATTTGAAGTTGAACTTTTGATCGCTCTTACGTGTAACGTTGTTGCTTTTAAAATTTACGTATCTTTGCTAATTACGCGATTATTATATCTATCTGTTGTAATTTAATACATTACAACAAGTCGTGTTTATGATGTTCTTTCTTTTATATTTTGCAATATTTTTCCTTCATCTTTTTCAATATGTTCAATATTTAACGTGACAAATTTGTTGCCCGAATATTTGGATATAAATATAAAATTTAGATATAAACTGCAGTGAATTTCACTAATGAATGTTAATGAACGATACATATTACTATTATTATTATTATTAAAATATATACGTTCCTGAGATTGATGTACTTCAATTGTTTCAATAAAAAAATCATACGTTCGCTTAAACTTCTTTTAAACTTAATTTTTTTTCAGAGTATCACAACATCAATATTTCCAGTTGTGCATATTACAATTCCAGTCGCACCACGAATCATCAATGAAACAATGTTCTCACTCGCTTTTAATCCTTTATTAGTAAAGCAATTCGTATTTCGATTTTCAACTCGGCTCAGTCATTCGATATCATAGGATCTATACTGTTGTCCAGCGAGTTTCTCGACTGCGCCGCATTAATGAACGTGGCGCTAGTGTCGTGTACCTCGGTACAGAACTATGTTGGCAGGCAACACGAGAGGGAAAAGTTTATAGCGCGCAATGCGATTAGCAATTGTTGCACTGCTCTCGAATCTGAAGGAAACAGCAAGGCCCGAACGAGGATGAAGTTCAGTTCAACATCTCGTTACCCGATTCGGTAGCTATGAAATTTCGTCGATGCGTCTTGTGTTATACCACCGTCTCTCCCTTCTACTTGCTCCGCGTTATCGATTGTTACGAACGCGCCGACTGATAATGCGTTAAATGCGTACATTTCCTTCAAAACGAAATCGCACATCCTCGTGTCTACTTGCCGGAAAGAATCAGATATCACGGTGCGATCGGAATTATGTACGCCGTGCAAAATTAACTTGGCGTTTGGATACTCTGCGGCATGGAGGTAAGATGTTGCAATAAATGTGCAAGCAGCTCTTAATAATTTACGTTCGATACGTGATGCTTAACGCAGAGAAAAGGATTCACTGTTGATGAAGAAAACGGAGTGCTTTGGTTTGCATGCACGTTTTAGAGATTTATTGTAACACAAATGAGTGCATCGTAAGAATATTTAATGAATCCAATGAGAATCATTAACAGGCCATATTATTTATACGAATGTAATCCTAGATTATTACCGTAGTGAATATAAACGAAACAATGAAACATTTTTTGTAACGTGATAGGTTGTAAGTTCTTTGGAAGATTTTAATATGTTTAATTCAATCTAGAAAAATGCACCTATATATAGTTTCGTTATTTTTCTATATAAAGTTATAGAAAAAATTATTTACATAATTGAGTACTTCTTTATACACTTATATTTTGTCGAATAAATCAAGCGTGAAATATATTGCATGTACATTTACATTTTATTACTTTCTGATATTATCGTATGCTGACAATGAGTATAGTATCCTACACGTATGCAACCCTTCTGTTCGAGATGCAGTTACGATACGTATCGTTGAATAAACTCGGGATTATTGCTGCACGCAGAGTTTGAATTTTCATATTATAATTTATACATACTATTTTTTTTTATTTGTTTTAAATTATATTTGACCACTAAGAATTATGTTAATTCCACATGGATTCCCTTACGATTAAAATTTTCTATATACATAACTATACACGTATACAAAAAATTAAAATACTTATTTTACAACTGAATATTAAACACATTCTATTCTACGGACATTTACAAATTACGATTAAAATTTCATACAGATATGACAGATACAATAATATCTATCCTGACATATCAACATGGAGGTAGAAGACTGAAAGCTTGATAATAGAATGGAATCCAAGATGCCAGTGAAATACGACGATTCTTAAGTTCAGGATGGAACTTAGAAAAGGGCCTTGGTCGAAAAAAATCCTGGTTCCAGTTTGTTTCCTGATAATTCTCATCTGGATCTTTCTAATCGACAATTCGCTACTACTCAACAATCTCTCTGGTAAATCAACCTTACAAAAACCGAGAAATTTCGTTTCTTTTGCCCGCAATCCGAATCTGGATCGTCTAACGATCAAGGAACCCTCTCTGACAAACGACGCCGAATTGAAACGCGCGAAAGTATCGAGACTTCAAGTGGTGTCGCTTTGGACAGGCAACAACAGCGTCAAAGGAAACGCAGGATCCTTACGGAAGTATCAAATCTTGAGACAGCAAGGCTTGATGCCCAGTAAACAATTGCCAACAGCTTTGATAATCGGGGTGAAGAAAGGCGGGACTAGAGCTTTGTTAGAGTTTCTGAGATTGCATCCTGCCATTCGCGCCGCTGGATCTGAAGTTCACTTCTTCGATCATCATTACATCAAAGGATTTCATTGGTACAGGTAGGCCCGTCGTATCGAATCTTTCTTTAGGCTGTTTGAAAGAGCAACGTTTAAAGTGATCAAGAATTTGTGAACTTGCAGAAGCAAATTCATTTGACGTCATTTCGTCCGTGTACGAAGAAATAATTTTCAAATTGTCTATATGTACATTCCAGGCACAGGATGCCTCCGACATTGTCCACTCAAATCACAATGGAAAAAACTCCATCGTATTTCGTGACGAGCGAAGTGCCAAGGAGAGTTCAACGGATGAATCCAGCGATGAAATTGATTCTCGTAGTGAGGGATCCAGTTACCCGAGCAATATCCGATTATACCCAAGTGAAGAGTAAACGAACAAATATGCCAAAGTTCGAGGATCTAGCGTTTCTGAACGGATCGAAAATCGTGGACACAACGTGGGTACCATTGAAAATCGGGGTATACGCACGACACTTGGAGAGATGGCTTCAGTACTTTCCACTATCGCAATTTCTGTTCGTTTCTGGAGAGAGACTGATCGTGGATCCAGTCGCCGAGATAACCAGGGTTCAGGATTTTTTAGGCCTAAAACGAGTTATCTGTGAGAAACACTTTTATTTCAACGCCACGAAGGGATTCCCTTGTCTGCTCAAATCTGAGGAACGTCCTACACCCCATTGCCTTGGTGAGTTGATGGAAAAAAAAGTTAGTGAATTAAACATTAATTTATCATCAATTGCAGTTAGTTTCTCGTAAAAAAGCGAAAGAAAGTTAGCTTTGCTTATGACAGTGATACATGTACATATATATATATATATATATTTTTTTTTTTAAGGTAAGAACAAGGGTCGTAGTCATCCTTACATAGATCCTGTAGCCATACAACGATTGAGAGATTTTTATCGTCCATTCAATCAACGTTTCTACCAATTGACCGGAATGGATTTCGGCTGGTCGTGAGAGTAAATGCGATAAAGCGAATACATATCGAAGCTAGTCAAGTAAAAGAATATAGTCAATTTTTACAGAGATACACGCGCGCATGCGGACACCGTTAGTTTGCACTAGTTGATAAATAGTCAGTAAAAGGACGAGATATAATACTGTTCGGTTAGTTTTCATCCGTTTCTACACCAAACCGAATATTTTTTTATGTACCACGTGAAAAAACGTGAAAAAAAGAAAGGAAGGCACGCGTATCGTTTCGATGTGTTGACAATACACAGAAGAGAGAATTCCTGTTCTTGTTCGTGATATTAACTTTTAGACACGCATGTAGATTTATAGTTGCAGCAAAATGTTATCGATCGTATGTATAATTTTTCGCATACATACATTCCACTATATTTTATACAGGACATTACGCAAAGAAGTATATTGAAATTTTGAACGACCATGCGGATTATTTCTTATTTATTATTATTGTTAATTTGTTAATTATATCTTCCATTGGTTTATAGTTATAATGAAATACATTGTTATTGTTATTAGTTGTACAGAGTTACGTTTAGAATTAAGAATTGTTTGCGTATTTTGTTGAATAGTTTAAATCTTCCAATGTAACAAGCACAAAATCTTCGTTAACGTTGATATTGTATAATTCTAATGATACTCAGCTAAAATATGTGACTTTAAGTTTAAGGAAAAGAGTGATGAATATTTTCTGAACAATTTATTTGAATTGCGTCTTTAAATTATAAGAAAGACTATCACAGCATAAAAGTTTTCATAGATGCAGAAACAAACTGAGTACAATTTAAGGTAACAAAAACGTCTCGTATTTAATATACAGTTTTAACAAACGTGTTTCAGTTGGAAAAGGAAAAGAAGCATAAAAATATCAATAACGTCAATTAGACATTTGTAATAAGGATGGTTATTAAAAAAAGTTTATATAACCATGTCAAAATATAAAATTAATTTCGATACGCGCAAGTGGACAAGAGCTTGCACAAATTGCAATAAAAAATAACGTACATATTTATATTTTGCAAATGTACACGCACACATATACACACAGATATATATATGATAAAGCAGGAGTTTTTACAAATTCAATAAAGTTGAATTTTAGTTGAAGTGAATTTTAATTAAATAGTTAGACGAAAGGATAGTCGTATAAATTCTCAGAGTTTATTAGAAATTGTCTTCTATTAATGAAAATATTTCTGAATAATTATTAATTACAAAAATTCGTTAGTATAAATTTATATAGTATATTATTCAGTAAAAAAAATTTAACTCGTAGCTCGAAGTTACGAAAATAATTCGCAACGATTGTATTGTTAAGTAGTTAATTATATAAGTTTACTTGCTCAAGTGGCCTAATTAATCTACCTACAAAAATACAAAGCCGAAGCTGTAAAATAAACAGTGATTTATCAACTAAGAAATACTGTGTAATGTATACTTACATCTTATCCGAATTTTGTTTCCCCTTAAAGCAAACATTTAGAGAATTAAAGAATTCTTTTCTAACCATCCTGTCTAAAAGTAGTTACAATTGTAGGAACAGATATTATTGTGGGTACTAAAATAATAACGAATCTGAAAGTCTGTCGCAAATTTTGTAATGAAATATTGCTTTCGATTTATCGAAAAGGGAAAAACAGCACAATGCAGCATGTGCATCTTCTATTAATACAATTATATAGAGTGTTGTTTTAATACTTTTCGCAAAAGATTCATCTTCCTTTTGTACAAACATTACATTAAAAAAATACGTATCTCTCTGGTCTGTTTCTCTAATATCTATTGAACTATTACAAGAAAAAAGAAAGAAAAGAGAATCAACAATACGAATTTCAGCCATTCGATGAAGGAGCCAAAAAAAAAAAAAAAAAAAAAAAAAACGATTCGTAGAATTTTCTATTATTTTTGTTTCTTTTTTTCTTTCACAGACATACGAATTAAATCGAAGTTGTTTAATTTCTTGCGAGTTATTAAGTATACACTTTCGGTCCCATCAAAATGGCAATATGTATATCATGTATATATAAAATATATATAAAGATGCAATAGATTTTATTGGTAGTCTAATCTTATGTTAAAGATTCTTGAGCAATCTTATCGATTGGTGGACGGAATATATACTGTCGATAGGGATGCTATTACAATACACAGTAGGTCAGCATGTTCATCATACTGACGTGATCATCGATCGATCGTAATAACTAACGCATAATATAATTCAATTCGGGTAACAAAATACTGATTCAACATTACATACGGGATAGAACGAATTATCCCTTTATATTTTTTTTCCTTTCTCCATGCTAAAATTATTCTATATGAATAACAATATAATCTTCCCTTGATCCTTCATTATTAACACAACCAATCATGAATTTTCGCGAAAAGAAAAACACATGTGTGCAATACATATCCGCTTTTGTCCGTTTTCATTTTTTTTTCCTTTTCTTCTCTCTCGATCTTAAAAAAAAAGAAAACAGAAAAGAAACAGAGGTGATCTATAAAACAAATTTTTTTTGAATACTTAAATATTAAATTAACGACTACAATCTTCCTTACGTTTACTATTAATACGTGATAATCGTTCGTTATTTCTTCTAACATACGTAATTAAGGTCATACTTAATCACGATTTTATGGTGATTTCGATTACTACTGGTAATTAGAATTCCGCGGTGCATGCATGAGAAATGCATCGGAGAAAATTTTTACAAGCGCTCTTTCTTCGTCATTCTCTTGGAGATGGTGGACGAGGAATGTTTCTCGAAAAATCGGTCTTCCGTGAGTTCTTTTCGACGGTTTTGGTTCGAAATCGATCGAATACAGATGCACAATCCCGGTCACGGCATTGTGTCGTGTTTTCCACGACAGACCTAATCTGCTCCGATCAAACAAACAAAATGGAAATATTGTTCGATATTTTTTTTATCGTCTGTAAACTCCGTAAAAAAAATCTTAGAACAGAAAATCTCTTGTTCTTGTAACTTAGCAAAAGTTACAGAGTCAGAATATTTAAAATTACAGGTTCGATCTAGCGGTTGTTTAATCAACTAACAGTAAGTGCATCTGTACTTGTGAATAAAAAAAAAAAATAAAAAAAAAAAAAACAGGAAAGAAAAAACAACAAAGACACGAACTTGGTTCGTTTACAGTTTGAGAAATCATGGCTTCGTTGAGCCAGAACAACGCATTCGAATGGAATATCCATTTCACCGCATATACAATTGCTATCCATAATCTATTTACAAGATAAGCAAATTCACGATCGAACTGTCCGATATGGGAACATCCGATCTTTTTATCACAAGACTGGGACACACAATTCCGATAAAACTTAATGGCAAGTTGCTACGAAGCGCTTCCACACAGTGGCAATGGGGAGATGTCTTACATCTTACAAAAATACGTACAATATTACGAATATTCAAATCGTTTCGAACTCGTCTGACGAATCATCACTTTTTTGCGTGTTAATTTATAAGACATGCTGCGAGTTGAGTCACAAAATTATTCTTACAATCGGAGATACATCAAAAATTTGCCAAACTAATAAGACAGCGTAAAGAACTTTTTAATATCGTATATATATTTGAAATACTTTTCCACTTCGTTATCTCATAATTTATATTACACATGTATATCTAAATCAATGATATATTAAGAAGTTCTTTGTTGTCTAATAATAATAAGACAGTGTGACGAACTTTCTAATACTGTTTACTTAATTTAAACATTTCAGTTTGTTTTATTAAATTAAATTATATATATATATATATATATATATATATATATATATATATATAAATAGAAAATATATTAGAGAATTCCTTGTTGTCGTATCACTTCATTCGTTGTATAAATAATTCTGTGACTGATTGAACGCAGATTATGTTTCCCAATTCTTTTCCCATTTGTACTATTTGAAAAAAGTCGAACTCGTTGATTCATCTAATAGTCTGCAGCGGATATTTCAACAACCGTTTCACTTTGTATCTTATTATTATTATTATTATTATTACTATTATTATTATTATTATTATTATTTTCCTGCTCTTTTGGATAATTAAACTTACACTTAAGTGAAGGTTTTGAATATAGACTATGTAAAACGCATAAGGACGAGTATGGCATCGGAACGCGCTTCTAGCACCGTGAAGGCAAGCAATTCGTTTTAACAATAGGTTTGACAATGGAATCGCCGTGCTGAATCGTTGCAAACGATACGTATAACAACACGTGCACGAGGCGAGACTGATCGCCGGGTATACAACCCTCCGTGCATTTTCCTTATCCCTCATTAATTTTGTATGAGTCAGTTTCTTTCTTTTACTCTTTCACAGTGGTTTCTCTCGTGCGTACTCGTTTCCCAGCAGAAACGCGTTTCAAGCATGGTCGCGAGCTTTGTCGCGTGCGCGAGTTCTGTTCCCCTTTTTTCTCATTTTTCTTTCGTTTCTCGATGCAAGAAAGGAGGAAAAAAAGAAAAAAAAAAAAATAATAAAACGTCGGCGTGCATTACGCCAACGTACATTACGCGACGAAGAATGAATGAAGCGTATCTAACGTGAAGTTTACAGAAACACAACGTGTTACTGCGTGAACGTGATTTGAAAGAAGAAGGAAAAAAAAAAAAAAAGATAAAAAGCGCCCCAACAAGAGCAAATTTATCTTGGTATCTGCGTGCATTTTATCGCAATCCAGCGATGTTCCTTATCAATAATCAATCTCCGACAATTTCATCGCGTATACATATACTCGTACCATGAATTATATCAATTTCTGTTCCATGTTCTTTTTAAAGAAAAAAAAAAAAAAAGTAAAAATAAAAATAAAATAAGATAAAAGACAACATGTCATCCCTTACGCCTTCCCGTGTACGAGCAACAACCTTCACACATCTCCAGGCAGCTTTCGATCACTTGATTATCGATGATCTATGATCTCGCGTGTCTGTGCTGACTGGCGAAAGATAACTAACTTCGTTGTTACAGAAAAAAAGCAGTAAGGATAGAATAAAAGAGAATAGTCGATCAAGCTGAAATTCCTCGTCGGTGCGCGAGTTCACACGGTGATATTGTTTCAGAGGTGTGTGATAATAATATCGTCGTCTATGTCGTCCTTTTCATCGTCGGTCTCCTCGACTTGGTTCGCCTCCGCTTGGGCCGCCTTTGGATCCTCCGCGATGGCCTTCAACCTCTTCTGTTTACGCCTGTGCAACAGTTCCACTATGATGTATCCGGTGGTCCCGACAAGAAGCACTGTTAACAGCACGTACAGCTTCATACGGGCGCACAGATGGGTGCTATACGCGTATGCGATCACGAAACCGGCACTCTCCCATAGTCTATAATTGGAGAACGCGGCTTCTTTGTTACGCCTGAATAACGTTCCGTATAAACCTGAAAATTACGAAGAAAGCATTTACATACGTTTCTTGAGCTTGATTGTTAATGGTGGAATTGGACTAGCGTCTGGTCGTTTTTCATTCAACCGTGTTTGTCTGTTGTTAAAAAATTTCCTAAATTCGAGGGACATACATTTGTTAAAACACGTTGACTCATTGGTAACTGGTATTTTTGGTCTTATAAATATTTATAGTTCGGTCTTATGAATATTTATATAGTATTTACTAGAGGTGTGCGAGAACCAAAATGTCGGCTCGGGAACACGAAATTTTTTCAAGGCGGGTAGCCGAAAATTTCGCGATTCCCAAAAGAGTTGGGATTGAGGAAAGGATTGGCAACAAGAATAAATGATTCGTTAAAGCCCACGCCTTTAACTATATCGAAAGATCGTAGATCTAGAACCATCATTCGAGCAATTCCTTCCGTTATATCTTTTGGTTTAACAATCTTTCGCGTATCATTTTGTACATGCGACAAATTTTATATCGATTCAGTTTCTTTTCTAGTACATGTACTTATGTTTCGATGCATATGCTTCAAATGGCGTAATAAACCAGTAGTATTTGCATACCTAGTTTTAAATTCATGGTGACAATGCGTCCATTCCGCCTTTGTATCATCTTTTTCCTGAAAATGTTCCCAAACGGAGATTCTCTTTACCTTCTTCCTTTGCACGATATCTTCTGCACTGCTTCCTGCTACCACAACTTTACTCTCGCTATCACTCGACATTTCTTTTTAAAGATTTTTAATCTTTATTAAATTCACACAGATTTTTGAAATATACGTCTAAGCTTCCCGAATTTCTCAGCGATACTGCTCAACAGCAGTCCAAGTACTAAGCACGCAGTCACACGTTCGTTTACATCGGGTCAGACGATTCTTAGAATCCGTGTTTCCAATAACTTCACTGGCAGAAGAAATTGAACTGTGTATTTACATATTTCGTAGGCTGTTATACAGCACTGCAGAGTAGTTCGAGAAACGATGGCCGGGTTTTCGAAATTTTCGGGAATCTCGACTTTTTCGGGAAACCCGATTCCTTCGAAATTTTCGGGAACTGGTCCCGACCATCGAGTTCCCGATATTTTCTGGTTCTTGCACATCCCTAGTATATACAGTCATGATATTCAAATATTTATTTATAGTTCAAAAGAAGATGAATATTACCGACAAAAATAAAATAAAATCAAAAAATACACTGATGCAACATAATATTTTAATTTCAAATGAAACATTCGCATAACCAAAGCGTAGAAATTTCAATAGTAATTTTACGTTTGTGTCGAATTTTTTTTCTTTTGAAACCATAAGAATTCAAACGTCAACGCAGTTAGAATGTAAAAAACTGGTCTATACATTATACCTGTACTAAATTTACTTAAAACGCGCTTTTGTAAATAATTGGCATGGGAAAATATCGTTTAAGTAATCTCAAGAGTGTTAACATTTTTTCTGAAAATTCCGCGCCTCCTTGGAATAATAATTCCGAGTTTCTTTTTTTTTACACATAGCATCTATTTCTCTAAACGTAGTTCAATTCTTCTTCGATAGATGTTTAGCAAATATTTTATCATGCTTGAAAAACATTGAAATTAACTGCGATGATGATAATAGGCTCGATGACAAAGTAAAAGAATCTGACAAACATCGTGGTGAATTCATTATTTTGCTTAAGGTCTTACATAAATATGTACGAACGTAGAATTAGTCATTCAATAAACGTGTGATAAAGTTCTTTTTTCGCAGCTGAACAAGTTAGAACAATTAGAATAAACGCAGCTAAACAAATTAGAATAATAAAACTAACGAAATTTTCACAATAATGCACAAATCAACGTAAATCAATGAGAGGAACGACTATATCTTAAAAAATTCCGGCTAATTGTTATACAAGAGCAATTGTTAACGACTGTCCATTCTTGTTTAAAAAGTCAGTTTTTATACTATTTGTCATTATACTAAGAGTGACAAGTAATTATTCTTCCTTGTTTCTAACAGACATTTATTTTATGTATGACTCACACGTCATACACTTCAAGATCGTTTATAGATTAAGGCACAAAAATATGCAACTATATTGCGTTGGAAGATATTTAGATGCATCTATTTTTTAATTGTACCATGTTTCCTAATTCATGTTAATAATGGATAAAATAAGGAAGTACACTGTTTAATAATTCTTTGTAAATCTGTGTCAAGGTAGCTTTGATATACTACATGAGATATGATATTCCTTTAATGACCTTACATCGTATATTCTGATTAAATTTTGAGATAAAGGAATCTAATTTCATTTGTAACGCACTGTGAAACTGACACGAATGTTAATATCAGCTCATTAGAAACAAACCATCGTTATCACTAATCCCATGATTATAGACAGAACGATAAACTAATAACGTTATATAATGATATTAATATTATTAGTAAATAACTTTGAAATAAACCGCTTTAATAAAAAATAGTACCAATAAGAGATTAATAATCGAAAAGCTCGTAATTTAAATGTATATTTCACTAGTTAAAAGCACAACATTCACAATATGTGGAACCAATAATAATTTCATACATTCGAATTTAACTGTTAAATGAAATGATTAATTTTACGGATCTTCGTGCAATTTCATATTTTTGTGAACAGTTGAAAAAAGATGGAAACTAAGTGAAAATTCGTTTTCCACAAATACCTAATATACCGTATATAACAATATACCATACATAACAGTATTTAATATACCGTATATAACAAATATCCTATTCTCGATACTTTAATAAATATTTCTGCATACTGTTTGCATCTTCTCCAGCTTCAAATTTCTCACAAACGTATGAAAACCATCAATCCAGGCCGTTAGAATTCTCCTTCTCGTTGTTATCAGCCGTTTCACGTAAAATATCTCTTTGTCTTTCTCTGAATAAAATACATTTCTCTTTTTATACATACCGTTGACTTGCGTTTGCCAAACTGCGTCGCCCACACCCCACAGTCCGGAGACCGTGTAAAAAACGTAAGGATTATCGGGATGCGGTTTCCAGTGGAGTAGCACGACGATAAGGCTAACATGGACGATAGCGCCCAGCACCATAAGTGATTGTCTACCGACGAATTTCATTAAAGATCCAAAGACCAAGGAGCAAGCAGCGTTCACCACGCCGAAGCAGATCATTACGTAGCCGACTCGGTGCACGCCCAACGCGCAGGAAATGTAGGCCTGGAAAAAGAAAACGATCAAGCATAATTAAAACCCGACGTCTTTAATAATCGTGGAAATATGGCGATACTGTTAATAAAGGATTTCAATAAAACTCTGCAGACTCGAATGGTATTATTCAGCAGTTGAGTTTTACATCTTGTAATGCAAGAGCGATTTTATACATGAATATATGCAATGGGTGTTCAGTGATCTTTAAATGATAATAATTGGAAAATTATTTTCCAGTGTTTTCAGTTCTACACGCTGGTTGTTCAGTAATTTTATTAAATAATAACAATTGGAAAATTATTTTCGAGCGTTTAAATCGTTTAAGAACATTTCTTTTCCAAGGGGATTAATTCGTCCTCCGTTGTTAACAAATTTGTAAATGACAACTTTAATAAACTTTCACGAAATGAAAAAGAAAGTTTCGCCCTTTTTTTTTTAGTTCCGTTTTCCTCTGTAATTTTCAACTTTTTTAGAAAGAACATTTGTTCATTGCGAGAACAGATTTTACAAATTTTTTTATCCCTATACTTCTAATTTTAGAGGAAAACAGGACATTCCTGTCGTACAATAAGAATAAAATTTTTATAAATTTTCACAATAGACACAAATCCGAAGGAAGGATGCTGTTGGTTACAGAATCAGAGAAATTTCACTGACGATGCTGCGAGGATGCATTCGGCAAGTTCCTTTCATTTGGTCACTTGGTGTGCGTGATAGCTGCACAGGGTACATTGCCCATGCACCAGTAGAACGACAAAAAAAGAAGAAATACTGGTTCACGAGATTCCAAGTATGGAAGTGGTATCGGAGAATTGCTGCAAGAATAAGATTCTGTGCTATTTATTAGAGGTGTGCAATATTATGGACACGAAATTTCTTCGGGATCGGGACAAGTACCAGCAAATTTCGAGATTCTCGAATTTTCTCTCCCACACCTCTAAAATTGCAGTACTTATTGTTGCCTACGATTAATGGGAGCTATAAAACAATGAAACTGTAAAACTGAAAAATTTTAACTAAATAAAACATAAAAACTGTAAAACTATTGATTACTGTAATAGAAATAGTGTTTT